TTCTTTTTATCTGCGGAGTAAACAGAAACCCATGTTTTAATTTAAAATTCTGTTGTTGACATGGGCCCTAGTCCTGTATTTTTGCTTTAATAAATTTTTTAAAAAAATTAACCTTTCTTTGATCTCTCAACCTGAAAAACTGCATCACTATTTGCTATCAAGAGAATGTAAAGAAAGTATAAGAGACTGAGTTACTAACTCCAGGGGTATTCTGCATGGTTTTTTCGTTAAATAGATTTGTTTTTTCTCCTTCTCTGCTGGTTTTCTTATGATTTGCCATCTCACTAAGCAAGATAACAAAGAAACCCGTTAATGTATTTTTATATTTTCTTGGATTCTAGTTGATTGAGATTTAGTATCATGAAAGACTTACGTACCAACCTTAAGATATGAACCTGTTTTTTAAACATAATATAATACCTCAGATTTTTTTAAATGATCGTCTTGAAGGCTCCCTCAAAAAGCCTAGAAGAAAAAAGTCATTCTCACTCCACACTATTAATGGGCATCAATTAAGATGCAGTTTGATTGTAGTGCTTTTTTTGTTCCTTTGGCAGTGATAGTTCATTTATATTCTTCTCTTATTAGTTTTCTAGAGAAAATACAGTGATAAATTATGTATTAGACTAATATTTCCAATTTCAGAAGATACAGTGATACCATTTTGAGAATTGCATTTAATTTTTCTACGTAATATGTTCTAGAAGGTTTAGGCACATATTTGTAGTTTGTATTGTCCTCTAATAGGACAACTTGTCTTGAATCCTTTTCTTAACAATCCCTGCTACTCCCACCACCAGCGCCAAAAATTTTCTAGTGTATTTCAAATTAATGAGAACTATATACAAAAACAGCACATTTATGTGTGTTTATAAATATATGTACACATGTAAGAATCATATAGTTTATATATATATATATATATATATATATATATATATATATATATATATATAATGTATACACACACACACATATGCTATGTAACCACGCAAATTGCTTTCAAAGATGAGATCTCTTTTTGATACTTAGAGCAGTCATGTGAGGCCATTGGACCCTGGGACTCAGAGGTGAATGAATGAATTGCCTAAAGTCACACAACTAGAGAGGGAAAGGGCCAGAACCAGAGCTCTGTCTCGCTTCTGCTCCGGTGCACTCTCTCTCTTAGCTCAGGAAGCTGCTTCAGTGTTAGTGAAACATTCAACAGACTCTACAGATTCCTGTCAGCCAGATGTGGGACCGAATCTGGTTCTACCTGTGTGACTTTTGGCAAGTTTGCTTGTTTAGAAATGGAGAATAGTAATACTTCCTAAGTCACAGGGGTTTATGAAGAGTATATCAGAGGTTCAGCAGAAGGCCTGGCACATGGTGTAGGCACTCAGTACATGTTATTGTTATTTTTACTGTTACATGGTTTATTCCTTATTGAAGCTCTGCCTTGCCCTCTGGTCCAACTATAATTTTGTAGCCTTTAAAGCCTATATCCCCTAATCAGATACCTTCATTTGGGTCCTGAAAATCATTGTGTCCTTAACCTTCTTTCTTGGTTTTTTTCCATATCTCATGAATGTGAAGAGGAAGTCATATACATTTTGTCTAATCTTCAGGAAGCCCTAAAAGCTACTATACAATCCTTTCTTTCATTTCTTGCTGACCTTAGTTTGCATGCCCTGCTGTAGATATTCTAAACTTTTCCCTACACCCTGAAGTCCCTGGTCACTCCTCTGTAACCATCAATTTCAGCAGATGATCATATACCCTAATTTATTTTTAGATATTGAGATCATATGCCCTAAACTCCTTAAATGTCCCTATATCTTTATCTGACATCTCATCCTCTCCTGCTGTCTCAGAAAGAGAGGCTTTTCTTACATTTCAGGGCTCTTGGAAATGCTTCCTTTTGCTCCCTTGGAATGTTGATCAAGCACTTTTATCTCCCTCATTTGCCCTTTTTGTTTCCCCCACTTCTCTAGATTCAACAACTTGTATTTCTCCTGATTGTGTCACATACTCTCTCTTGCCACTGTATCTTTGCACAAATGGCTCTCCCACTAGAAATTTCCATTCCTCATTGTCCTTCAAGACTCAACTCTAGCATCATTTCCAGTATGGTTGTTTGCCCTTCCTACAGACTGCCATAATTTCTGTCAACCCCATGCCTCTACCAAGTGACTGTGAGGTTTCCAGGAAAGGTACCGTGTTCTGTATTCCCAGCATCTACCACAGTGTCTGGCCTTTAGTAAATACCCAACAAATGTTAGAAGGAAAAGAGACCTACAAATGAGTGTGTCTTTCCTACAAATTAAAGTCCCCTCAACCGTCATTGTCCTTCCTTTGACAAGCATTCTACCTCCTCATCACAAATTCCCTTTCAATTCAGTGTCTAACACTGTTGAATCTACTGAAAGTACTCTTGTGAAGGTCAACAAGTAGCTTTTGTATGGACTACATCCACTTTCCTGAGCCTTTCACCCACCTTCTGTGACACAGCGCAATATTGGCTCTCTTGACACCTCCCTGAGCTAACTGACCTCCCTTGACTCCTTCGCTAGTTTTTCCAGTGTGCATACTGTCAAGACCTGGTTCATTTGTCTTCTCTTCCTTCACCTCGTCCCTCCAGGGACATAGTCATTCTTGATATTAACCATCACTTCTGTGCAAATAACATGCAGAGTTTGTTTCTATTTCAATTACAATCCCATTTATCCCACTAAGATCAAGTTCTGGAGTTTCATTCTTTCTAATGCAGAGATGACAGATACTTGGCACTCATGCTTCTGCTTGCCTCTGTCTCATCCAAGAGGGATATTATCTCACCCAAGACCGATTGCACTACTTACTCAATATGAGCAGGCTTCTCAGAATTTTCATTATTCTCCTCTGTTGCTTGGTACTAATGCTATCTGCTTGGAATCTTCATTCTTCACTTACTTCAGACACCTGCTTGCTGGTAAACAGCGTAAAACCTATTAGTCATCCCTGTAGTAGATCATTTTCACTCATTTCTCAACAACACGTCAAACTCAACATGTTTAAAGTCAGCTTATCATATTCTTCGATCTTTAGCCTAACTTCCTCCTGCTGACTACCCTAGCTTTGTAATTTGTTCCATTCCACTTTTTCCCATATTACACTGCTTATCCTTTACCTTGTCTTTTGTGCTCCACCAATTTAGGTGTCAAATCTTATTTGTTCAAATAACTCTCACTCATCCCTTCCTTTCTATTTTGGGGGCCACCATCTTGCTTCTGGCCCTTTTTACCTGGTTGTGGGCTATAATACCTGTCATCTGGCCTTCTCATTGCCAGGTTCTACCTACTCTAAGTCACTTTGCCTCCAGATCAATCTTCCTAGAGTAAAACCTTGCTCAGATGACTCTCTACCTCAGAATCCTTCAGTGACTTTCTATTATCTCCTAAATAATGCCTGTAATTCCTGTCAATTTGGTAGGATAAAATTATCTTTAATTTTGGAATCAATAAGATTTGGATTCAGATTCTGGCTACTACACTTATCTGTTCTGTGACTTTGAACTTACTGTTTAATTTTTATTCACTCATTTATTCAACATATGTTTATTGAACACCTTCTTCGTTCTAGGCTCTATATGAAGCCCATGAGATGAAGTGATGAGCCAAACAGGCATTGTCCTTTTCTTCTGGATCTCAAACGTATTAGACTTGTACATATTTCTCATGATCACAGTAATCCCAAGTACAGGCCATACTTTGCTGTCTTGATGCTTTTAGCTTCTGGTTTCTGTTATACAGAAAATCATAATAGCATGTACTATAGTATTTTGCATATGTGTATCAAATCTCAGCTTCAGTGTAAGTTCACTGAAGGGTAAGTGCCATGTTCCATTTCCCAAACTGCAAGCACAGAGCCATGCACAGTGAATTCTGTTGTGTTTTTATGGACCTCGAATTAATCTTTGGCATAGTTACAATGCCCAGTATGTTTTTAGAGACTCCTTTTGTCCTGTCAGAATTACATATTTTTTAAAATGAAGGTGAAGTAGTAGCTATTTGGTTTCTGTTCCTTCTAAGGCCTCTCTTTTCCAACCCTGCCTGTAACTATTATAAGTAGAACTCACAATGTGCACCTTAAGTTTTTAAAACCTGAATAACTAGTCCACTCATGCTTCCTAGTAGAAATACTGTCCATGCACATAAAATGGAATGTTAAAATAACGTTCTTTTAACTAAATAGCTTTTGACTTGGTAATGAACAATATGTTGTTTTTCCCTGAGAAATAATTCCAGCACTTTAGTCCTAAAGATTATATTTTATACATGTTTAGCTTGCTGGTTTTACATTCCCAGTGATCTTACATTAAGTTAAGCATTTGTCTATCCAAAACAATAGGTCAATTATAGCCAAATTATAACCATACCTTTTCTCTGCACACAAAATCCTATAAACAGCATGTGATCATATTGCTTCTAGAATTTATGATTGTTTTCTTCCAAAAGGAAGCTAAATTTAGCTTAGTAATTCTACATGCTCCCAAGGAAACAATGCCTGCTGTGATTTGTAGAGTAAATGAATCTGAACCACAGTTCCTTTACTTAACTAACTGAGAAAGTTTAAATATCACCCTAGTCATTAACCACAGATATTAAACCACATGAAACAACCAGCAAGGGGTTAAGAAAGAAATGTGCTATTTTTCTGACTTCACTGCTGAATGAGTCTTAGTTGTTGTATTGTTCTTAATACAGAACATTGTTTGCATCTTATAATGGTTCTCTAAAATTACTTGTTCGTGGCTTGAGTTCTAAAATTAAAACTATGTAAAGTCATGTCCAACTGCACAACGCATCTCTATGTGAAGCCAGCTAGAGTTTTTTGTTTTCACTCACTGTAAGAATTCCAGTTAGGAAGATTTGTTTGTAATAGTCAAACTGGTATAGTTCTCTCAGTTTCTTCTTCTTTGTTTCTAATGACAACTAAAATGCTCTCGCCTTGACCGTCTTTTGGCAGATAAAATTCTCACCATGAAGTCTCCTGCTGTGCTTGCACCTGGCATTCTTGTGTTTCTGTTTACCTTCGTGCAGAAGAGCGATGAGGAGTGTAAAGAGGCACTAGTAAAGTCCAGGATGAATGTGAACATGCAATATCAGCTTCCTAACTTCACTGCAGAAACATCCATTCAGAATGTTGTTTTGCACAAACATCACATTTACCTCGGTGCCGTTAACTACATTTACGTTTTAAATGACAAAGACCTTCAGAAGGTTGCTGAGTACAAGACTGGGCCTGTGCTGGAACACCCAGATTGTTTCCCATGTCAGGACTGCAGCCACAAAGCCAATTTATCAGGGGGTGTTTGGAAAGATAACATCAACATGGCTCTGCTTGTTGACACGTACTATGACGATCAACTCATTAGCTGTGGCAGTGTCCACAGAGGGACCTGCCAGCGACACGTCCTTCCACCCAACAATACTGCGGACATAGAGTCGGAGGTTCACTGCATGTACTCTCCTCAGGCAGATGAAGAGACCAACCAGTGTCCTGACTGTGTGGTGAGTGCCCTGGGAACCAAAGTCCTACTGTCTGAAAAGGAGCGATTCATCAACTTCTTCGTGGGCAATACCATAAATTCTTCTTACCTTCCAGATCATTCACTGCACTCAATATCAGTGAGAAGGCTAAAGGAAACGCAAGATGGTTTTAAGTTTTTGACAGACCAATCCTATATTGATGTTCTACCTGAGCTCCAAGATTCCTACCCCATTAAGTATGTCCATGCCTTTGAAAGCAACCATTTTATATACTTTTTGACGGTCCAGAGGGAAACTCTAGATGCCCAGACTTTTCACACAAGAATAATCAGGTTCTGTTCCGCAGACTCTGGATTGCATTCATACATGGAAATGCCTCTGGAGTGTATTTTGACGGAAAAGAGAAGAAAGAGATCCACAAAGCAGGAAGTGTTTAATATTCTCCAAGCTGCATATGTCAGTAAGCCTGGGGCTCAGCTCGCTAGGCAAATAGGTGCCAACCTGAATGATGACATTCTCTATGGGGTGTTTGCACAAAGCAAGCCAGATTCCTCAGAACCAATGAATCGCTCTGCTGTCTGTGCATTCCCTGTCAAATATGTCAATGAGTTCTTCAACAAGATCGTCAACAAAAACAATGTGAGATGTCTCCAGCATTTCTATGTCCCCAACCATGAACACTGCTTCAATAGGGTAAGTCACACAGGTTCCCTACTTGCAAATTATGAAGTACAAGTCAGAATTGGTATCATCCTAGAAGAGAATATCAAGGGCTTTTTGATGCTTGGTAAATGGTATTTATCCAAATGTTTGCAAATTCTTTCCAAGAAACTTTAGAAATTGAATCTTCATTTAAAGATAGAATCATAACTTGAGAAGAAGTTAACGTGATAGCTTAAAAAAAATATAAAATATTTTTACAATTTGGGTTTGCACATTTGCCAACATTTTTCTGATTATTAACTTTACTTCTCATATAAGCTTTAGTAGTTCTGGTCAGATGTACATAAAGTTAGCACAACAGCAGTTCTGTAAAACACAGTTATTGAAATGCCATGCAACTGTTACAACATTTAGAACAAGATGCTTAATTGTAGGTGTTGAAGGCTTTTTTTTTTAATGAGGTCCCATTCACTCACTGCTGTATGAATAGTCTATATTCTTGGCTTTACTTAAAGAAACTTAACTAAAAACTAACAAAAAACTCTTCTAGAATGTTGATACATTAAACATTTTTACATGCACTAATATGCTTCTCTGAATAAATTAGAAAACTATAAAGGAAATTTTTGCTCTGAGATTCCTCCTTTGGATCTTGACTTCAATGCATGAAGTTCCTGCTTGAATGTCATGTATTTACCAAAGTTCTGATTTGGTGCTTTTCAGTTGACATTTGATGTCTATAAATATTTTGATTGATGATTGTTTATACAACATGAAATGGTATTTTCACAGGAACTGTTAGGGAAATTCTTTGTTGCTTTGATTTAGATATAGTAAAGACTACCAGCTATACCCAGAGGATTTATCCTGCTGGTCATCATATCATTTAGGGTTAGCATCAAATTGAGAGGAAGAACATCAAATTGGGAGTCCATTGTGGCCTTGTGTTTTCCTGGTGGGGATCCAGATTTGAACATTACATACAGACTTGCTATGCCTCCTAACATAAGGACCACTAGTGATCATAACTGGATGAACAAATGGTATAGCTTTTTTAAAGATACCTGACTTTGAAAATGTACATCTCCCTTACTCTAACAGTTTTCAGTCTAAGTGGTAAAGGTTATAATTGCAAGCAGGAAGAACATTGCATATGTCCTTGATAAAAGAAAGTATATAATTTGCAGATGGGTAGGTACCAAGGACATATGAATTCAGAAACGTTTGTTTAACTTTTGCTGAAATGTCTAGGGTACTTCTCCAGATGGAAACTCTACGTAATTTATTTATAAAGTTAGAAAAATGCTTCGGAGAAAATGAATCCATCTTTTAGTGAACTAAAGCCGTAACTTACTTCCTTCCCTCTCCAAAGTCTATGAATATACATAATATACATACATATAAATTCCAACTAAGACTTATTTCTCCCTGAATACATTTTAATATGTGTTGCAAAATATGTAAGAAGCAATGGGATTGCTCATGAGGCTACACGTTTTCCTTACTAGAAAATGGAAAAGAATGAAAGGAAACAAAAAAACTTTGAAAAACCTGGGAATTAGGAAATAAAATGTAATATTAATAGCATTTCAGAGAAAACACTTTTCCTGCATCCAATAAATTGCTTCAGAAACACAAGTTTAGAAATGAGTCTCGGAAATTCCTGCAGGGCCTCTAAAGCACACAACTTTGTTATTTAAATCTTGTTGTTCAAATTTGTTGAAAACTAAAGAGACTTTACCTTACAAGGATATACTGATATCTTATCTCTTTGCTTTATTTTGTACATTTCAACCCCCAGATATAAAAGTATTTATCAATTCTAGAAATTCTCAAAACACAGCTGAACTTTATCCTACCCCTTTGACATTTTTAGTGTTCCAGGAGGAACAAAAAGGCAGGATTACCCAGTGAAATTCAGGTCAGTTTTATCACCCAGGAAAAATGCCCAAAATGCACCAACCACACCTGAAACTATTATCACTCCCATCGCAAAAATTCTTGTGGGAAACAAGATGAAACTTGCCAACATAGTCTTACAAGGGAAGCCAACTTTAATACTAGCCAAATTCCATAAAGACAAATACCTTCAATTCTTCATTTATTTGCCTGTTTATCTTCTCTGGTTACTGAAGGTCAGAATTCTTCCAAGAATGAAACTATCCACCTTCTCAGTTTTCATATACCTGCCACAGAAAGACCTCAGGTTGTTCCAATAACCAGCAGACAGACATTTCCCAGCTTCATCTTAAAATGAAGGCACCTAGAGCCATTACTCACACAAAACCAAATGATTTACAGGATCAAATAAGTTTGGAAAGACTGTAAGCAACACAACTACTCCATTTTGTCTTGGCAAATTTACTTGGCAGAGATATCAGGTGACCCAACAATTTCTTGGAACTGAGTTTTTATTTTGGCATAACATTTAGTGAATAGATACATATATTATAGTTTTGTTATTAACATGTCTAATCAATCAGATCTTTATAGAGGAACCATTGTGTGCTCTGTAGACGAAGAAAGCTGCAGCGCTAACTTCGCACTGAGGCTTTGAGAGCGTGTTCGCAGCAGCAGGGGTTTTCTGGCCCTCCATGAGCTTCTGCCCTGTACAAAATGTGTCTCTATCACAGGATCAGACAGAGCACCAGGAAGGGGTCTTTTAGATTTTAAGGGTCCAGCAGGAGTATCAGACCTGACTTGCTTATTTTAGATCACATATTATGTTGCTTTTTCCACTCTCACATTTTATAAAATTATGTGTGCAAACTTTTATTTTTTTTTATTTTTATTTTGTGTGTGTGTGTGTGTGTGTGTGTGGGCAAACTTTTATATACATCTTCTCATATTGATGACATCACTAAAACCCTCTTTCAAGTTATCTGATAGTTTTCAGAGCAGGTCGTCTTCACCTCTTAGTTAGTTGTACTTTAAAACTCGTTGATTCCCCACATGATGCTGTTTCTGGAAACTTATCCCATGCCACAGATATCCATTCATGTACTATTAGTGTTGACTATTAGTTGTTCTTCATCTTTATAGTGTAACCATTTTTGTTGTTGCTTTTGAAAGTGACTGCTAAAGGGTTTGTTCACAGTGATTTCTACCTTTTAGAATTATGATATTCTATATCCACAAATAATTAAATCTTTGGTCTTAAAAGTCTTTACCGCCCTTTTTACACATTCATCATTCAACCTATGTAAGCATTCTAAATTAGTATTGATGAAGTTGTTTTAGGTTAATCTGTATTCCCTAAACAGTACATTGTTATTCAACATGTAACTGAGAAAAATGCCACATAATCTAGAGACTTGGAAAATCCCCAAATTTGGGCATTAAAAAAACCCTCATCTTCTATTTTGGGATAAACTATTAAAACTTCACTTTAAGCACATTGGATCTCCAACAGTGTCATATAAGAGATTTAGTAACATAACAGTTATTCCAGGAAAAAACTAGAATCAGTATACACTGGCCTAATTTCTTCCAAATAATCAATATTGAATAAAGGAATTTTTTGTTCTCAAATCAGCAAAGATCCTGTTCCCTAAATTACAGTATACTTACTAACAGAAGTAGAAGTATGCATTTTTGAAAGATTTTTAATCAAAGTTGAAATGAAAAAGGGGTCTTTGAAAAATCTCTCACCTATCTAAAAAATAGTTATGACATTATACTTTCTCTTGCAATCCCAATATCAAAGTTTTATTTTACATATAAGCATTTGAAAGAACATAAATAGACTTGTAGCAAATATTTTTACCAATATCTTGGTTATCTTAATGACCAATGATTGATCATTTAAAGGGGAAAAGCATGCAATTTGGTGCCAGAGTCACCTGGTTGGAAGCCCTGGTCTCCTATGTACCACCTGTGTAATATCTTCCACATTACCTAATTCTTAGAGCCTCAGTCTCCTTATTCGTAACATGCAGATAGCAATACCTACTTTTCAGGCTTTCTGTAAAAACATGGGATAATAAATATAAAGTACCTGGCACATAAGATAATCATAAATTTAGCTTATTGGAAGGCAGCATGATCTCATGGAACAGGAGATCTGGATTCAAACTTGTACCCCATGATTTTCTATCTGCCTGTCCTGAGAGCATTATTTAAATCCAATGAACACATTTTCCTCCATGCAGGACTATGGTGTGGACAAGTGCAACAATGTTTATAAGAGGCTCTAACTTTGTCCTTGGCACATAATAAATAACAACTCTCATTGAAAGGGGTATTTGTGTAAAGAAAGTCAACTTCAAATTACTGGATTGTTTTCTGGAAGAGGTACATTCCGGTTCTGTTGCTCATGGGGGTCTTTTACTTTCCTAGCTGACTGTTATGAGTGACCACCTCCATAATGTTTAATTTGTGTAAGTCCTCCTGAATACTTAACAGTTTCAAAAGACAAAAAGGAGATATGGGAGTGGTGGTGGTTTGGAGGGTGACGAGAAGGACAACTGAATCAGAATTGTGCTGTTTAGTCAATCTAGAAGGTATAAGGTGCTCCTTTCCCTGACTTTAATTCTAACTACCTATGGCACTATAAAATACAATGCTTATGTTATGCTTAAGTTATATGTTCAAGAATTTGCAGATAATGACGTTTTAGAAAAAGTCAACCTCAAGGTTGTTTGTGCCAAGCTTCCTTGTTTTTAAACATCATTTATACTCAAATTCAAAGAGTAAGCCAACTGCTTCCCAAAATAAAGGAAACTTAAAGTAGTAATTTTCCATCTCCGTTTCAGAGTGCCAAAGTTAAAGGGTCACCACTCAGAGCCATCAAAGGAAGAAAGCAAAATGATTAGAACTATTTTGAATGAAAACAAAATCAAAACAAGATGCAAACAAGGGGTAATAGGAATAGGCATAAAAATAAACATACAGTGATGTTTCTTTATTACTATTATAAAGATGATAGATGAGTAAAATTGGGTTACATTTAAGTTGTAATGGAAGAAAATAATTGCAGCCTTCCATCAGGAAACCACAAGGACCATTATTGATCTGTCATCCTCAGGGCA